GCTGACTTGGCTTGACTTCAGGCTAAGTAGTTGCTTGTCGCTCTTTGTTTTTGGTATTAATTTGTAGTTTTGCTTTGCTTTGCTTTGTTTTCTTTTCGCTTTAGCTGAAACCCCAAACCGATCGCCCACCCAGCAAAAATTACCAAAAGAATTCTTAATTGCAGGCCTTTGGGCAGTTGGTGCTTTGTATTTTTGGTATTTTGTTTCTGTCTATCTATTTCATACACACACACACACTTAGCTCTTGGCCAACTGCATGATGTAAGCTGCCTAATTTGTCTTCACCTCTTATTCATCAGGTTCGTCCGGTTCGGTTCGGCTGGGTTCGTATCGAATCGAGTTGTCCGTCCGGTCCGCGTCATAATTCATAATCTTTTGCACAATTTTTCAGCGCTGCGATTTGACATTCAACATTTTTGCCTTTTTTCTGCTTCTTCTTCAACATTTAAGTCATTCATTCCACTCAGCTCATTCGTCACCTCAAACAGATGACATATGCTGTGCTGGTTTCATAAAGTTCAATAGGGTTTATCGCGCTCTACAGACTCCATCAACCACCCAACCAGCCAAGGAGTGCTCGAGTATGAGATGCCCTGTAGTCAGTTGCCTGACAGAATAAGATACGATTGCGATCTGAATATAGATCTTCAAGGACTAGCTTCAGAAGTTGACAGCTCTACATACAGCAGTGTTCGATATTTATCGATATTATCGATAAGCCATAAGGCCAGCCATAAAATCTAATTCTTGGAGAATACTGAAAATCGATATTTATCGATATGGATTACGCCTTTAAATGGAACTAAACTTGCCTTAGTCATAAAATCAATACAAATTTGATGTGAGCTACCAAAATCTGGTTAATGGCATCGATATATATCGATTAAGAAAAAATTGGAAGTTATCGAAAGGAAATGAATCTTTAGTTGTATGAACCCATATCGAATACATTTTAAATATTTCAAATAGTCGCAGAAGCAGATATTTTTAGATATTCTAAAGAGTCAACCATTTTCGTGCCCTGTCAACACGAATTATCCCTTTAACTACCCAATATACCCAGATTGACACAATATCAGTCTCAAATCAGTACAGGGTATGTGACAATCCGTTGATGACTAAACGTTATTAAATGTAATGAAATTTAAGCATGCGTCGTTGTCGTTTGGTACCCCTGACCCAGTAACGACTTTGTAATAGGAACACAAGCACACACATACACAGACACTAATCTTTAAATGTTTCTGTATGTGTGTGTGTTATGTTCATATATCATAATATGCTTTTGATTAGAGCCGCCAGCCGCCCGCATCAGAGTTGATTTTGTTAATAGGCGACAATCGTGGCGCGGCATTTAATCGAACAACCGTTGCCCCGCCTACCCATTGAGCGGCTTAAATGAGCCTCGCAGTGTTAATTCGATAATTGTGACAGCCGCAGGTACTCAAAACTGAGCGGAGCTACTTACAAAACGTTCAGCAAATGGCCAGAGAGATTAGACAAGTGAGAGAGTCACTTCACAGAACTAGTTCATTCACAATGGGCAACAGCTCCAGCAAGATCACTTATTTAGATCAGTGAATAGGGTAAAGCTAGTTCGTATTTGCCATTGCCATGAACTCTAAGCAGATCAGTCTATAGATCATATAAGAAACTGGAGTTTAGGTCAGGCTTAAACAGCGATCAGTCAGTATATTACAAAAGGCTCTAAAGCTAAGGCCAAGTGTTTACAGAATCAAGAGAAACACTAGTGTCAGAAGAGATCATTTAATGAGAGCCTGAACAACCTCAGCCATGATCAGTGTTTAGATCAGCAACGACTCAATAAATAAAATCGATGTTAACTCTAAGAAGATCCGACTTAATCATGTGATTCCTAGCAAGATCATTAATTGCTATATCAAGGCCCACATACAGCTTTGATTGCCAAGATCTCAGTCATGATCACTGATCTTGGACTACTACAAAAGTAAGGCTCTATGATGAACAAAAGCACTGATGTGTGAAATAAGATCAACGGCAACTCTGAGAGCAACAAACTTACTGTTGGAGTTAGAGGCCAGGTTAGAATCGAGATCTATATCAAACTCTGATCACATAGGGGATAACTACGATTCAAGATCAGTTGCCAAATTGCCAAAAGATTGAAGAACACACGCCAAGTCTGAAGCTAAAGCTGAATGCTTGAAATTAAATCGAAATGGAGTTTCAGCAAAGTTTACGTCAGCCTCCAAGCCACGATCACAGCAAGATCAACTTCAGACTTGATTCGATCTCTAAAAAAAAAAACAAAGAAAAACGGAGAAAAAACAATAACAATAATAATAATAATCATAAAAATAGCTGCCGTTTCACTCTTGAAGTGAAACTTTTGGCATTACATTGTCATACTATATGGCCATTGTCTGTGGAGTGGCAGGCAGCGCGGCATCAAATGATTTTATTTCTTCACCCACAGCCCACATATTATGAGCATCCATCAAGTTGCATGGGCCACATGCGAGCTGTGAGTCGCCAGATCAACGCTGTGAGTGCGGCTGAGCAATTAATAAGCAAATAAAATGCCAACAACAATGCGGGTTTATGACCACAACACTTATACACTCACTCACTCACACACACACACACACGCCCCCTTTTTGCCAGGCAAATTGCGTGCGCGAACAACTAAATTTACAATGTTGTTTGGGAATCCAGCAAATGATCTCGCACATCTCCGCCGCTGAGGTTTGGAGACAAACGACGCCTGACATTGCCCTCGATGGCGTAAATGAAGCAGCGAACGAAGTCCAAGTTGGACTCACAGCAGAGCAAAACGAATTGACAGACAGCTGAACTGAGAAAGGATGCCCCATTCTGTGCAATGACTAAGTGAAGGCTCCCAGAAACGAGCCAACTGATCACACAGCACATCAAATGATCAATAAGAGCTGCGAAGCAAGAGATAAGCAGCTGCTGTGAGCTGTCAGCTTCGAATACGCATTTGTTAAATGCCAATGGACGAAGAGGCAAGAATGATAATGAAACGATCTGCACACAATGATCAGCTTACTTCCGATTCCTTTTCTTGTTGATCGGTTGGTATAAGTAAGCAGATTATCTGCAAGCTGTAGAAGCCCTAATCTGCATCAGCTTTAGACTCATAAATGTGAAAGATCAACTCGTTAAGGCATTGCATTAGCTAAAGCCAGTTGCGATACTCTTTCAAACATATTCTAGCAACTGAGTTGGCTTCGGAAACTCATATATTTTCACTTTTCGCGCTCATTTTCCTTTTCCCACAATCTTTCACTCTCGATTTTCTTTATCGCTTGGAAATCTATTGGCCGAGATCATCAATAAACTCAAGTTCATTGGAATTGTGACAAGTGTTTATCCAATTTGGGAAATCTTCAAGACATTCTGTATGCCTTTGGGTAACCACTTGACCCACACACACACACACACAAAGAAAGAGAGAGAGAGGGTGAGAGGGAGATAGTATTCGTACGTCAAGCCCATAAACGAACTGTCCAGGCAAATGGGAAACATGTCGAGCTGACGTCGTTTGTCCATTTGGTCGGAGCTGTCGAATCGTGCAATAGATATTAATAAATATTGAAATATGGCCAGAAATACATGCGATGGCTCGATTAATGACAAACGACAACAAATCGTTGCCCGAGCTCGCGCCCGTATTGCCCAATCGATCGGAGCAATCGATCGATGGATCACTTGGGATCGTCGCCGCGTTCACCTTTAGCGTCAGTTTCTATCTACGAATTAATTTGTAGCCACGTTTGACCAATTTGTCTTTAGCTTTTTTTCATATTTATCAAATTTTTTTTGTGCTGGCTCGTTTGAATGACAATCGGAGCGATTTGATAAGCGGCTGGGCATGTGCATGGCAAACGGAAACGAAATCGAAACCCACGACTGATTGAAAAACGACACCAAATACGAAAAGTGCACTCTAGTGGGGTGTGCACGACTAGCTGATACCCCGCCCACAACTAATATACGAGTCGAGACTTACAAAGGTGCGCTAGACTATTCTGTGGCGATTGGTAGACGGCAATTGGAATGCCAAATCAATTTATCGATTTTTATCGGTATCATAAGCGATATCAAACAAGCTACACAGCTCTTCGGCATGCAGCTAATCATCATAAATATAAGCAATGTATGAATTATGAATGTGCCAATCAGATATAGAAAATTGTTTAGTTATCTTTCTTTACATTTCACAAATTGATTGACAAAATCGATAACAAACTCCACTATAGGGCATAGCACTATCGTGTAACCAAATAGCCAAGCAACGAAAGTGCAATCAAAATATTATGCGACAAACTGTGCGTCACTTTTTCATTTTTATTTGATTATTTTTATTTATTTTTCTTTTGGCAAACAGCCCATAAATTCTTGACCTACGACATAAGACACTGCCATGAATATATTGATATATATACATATAAACTGTAGAGCTTTTCATATACAGCTGTGAGTGTCGCGTATTTGCGGACATCTGCGCGATGCGACATGACGAAACGTTTTTCATTATATAGATATCGGGCGCCCTAGAGACGAGTTGCCTGTGATTCAGATCCACTTTCGCAGAACGAATGATTAGTTCAGAGGCGTCGACTATATATACATATATCTATTTTTGTGAGTGTGTGTGCTTAAAGAATGAGTGTTTGTATTTTGGGGGGCGGCAGATAGGCGGCGCCACGTAATGCCCGATAAGCCACATCTTAATGGAACAGCATATGGGGCACGCGTAAAGAGTTTGTCAAATATTACGCATAGAAAATTATAACTCCTATATATATGCTCAATTTTTAGAGACGACTTGATTTGACTATTGGCAATGTCTTAAGAACATCTGAATATCAGCTCAACATAACCTCAATTTCGCTTTAACCTCAAACTGCAATTTCTTATAGGTATTCCTGCTCTTAGTCTTATAGATGTTAAACCAGACCTCATCATAAACACAAATAGTCAAGTTAACTCACCAAACTGATGTTGCGTGTCCACAAGACGTTTACTTTTGTTTCAATTCTTTTAATGGAACCTGGAAGAAAGAGTTAGAAGAGGACAAAAGACATAAGCATCATATTACAGTCTTAAATAAATATATAGGTAGGCATAGCTGTAAAGTGACATCATCAGAAATTGAAGTGAATCAAGTTGAAAAACTATCAACGACTGCATGATGCTCGCTCGATTGAGTTCCATGAGTCCTCAGTTCAGCCGAATTGCAAGACTTTTGAGCATAATATATATAGTCCCCTCTGAGATATGGCTTGTAATCCTCATGAATAAGTCCCATAAATGCCATAGATCATATATCTTTTATATCCTATATAGCCCATTCTTAAATATATCTATTTCTTTAAGAGCAGACGAACATTATTCAATTTACCAACCCATATACTCCATTTCAATGTGTGAACGAGCATCAAAACGGTAAATTAAGTTCTATATATATATATCTATATATATATATTTAGAAGTCAATAAATATAGGCGTTAACTTGGTTCGAATGGCCTACGTAAATATGCGATAAAATGCGCAAAAAACTACAACAGAGATTCATTATGAATACCCCATAGACAGAGACAAAGAATTAGAGAGAGAGCGAGAATAAAGAGAGAAAGACTGAGTTGGAGAGATAGAAAGAGGGAGAGAGAAAGAGCACAGATGAACAGATGCAGTACAGCAGGCACAGCTCGTCAGCTTTGTGTAGGCTTGTTTCGTAATCAAACACAAACACACACACACACACACACAGCTACAAAGTTTTAGCAATAAGCTAAAAGCCGACAAATGTTTGACAAGCGGAAATGGCAAAAAGCACAGCAAACACGCGCAAAACACAGCAAACAACAAAAACATCAAACACATTTGGCGATAAAGCGACAAACCTATGCGAGAAGTCTAGCAAAAAGAACCGCAAAAAAAAAGAACCAAATAATCCTTACACTTCCAGGAATGATCTACAAGAAAAAGACAGCAACAAAAAACTTGGATATACGATCATTGAAAAAGTCTACAACTTGACTTGGCTAACATTCACTAACTGTTCTCTAACTTCTAAGCTTCTCTTCTTCAACTGGAAATATGCATTAAGCTATATATATAAAATAATCACTTCTCCATATGATCCTAACCTCGAATACAAAAGGTTATTTTAGAATGGAATTTTAAGATATTCTTCTAATATCTTAAGATATATTGACGAAACTCTTAACTATAAGCCTAATCTAATCTAATTGAGCCAAAAAATGAAAGGGTCTATACAATCTAATCCCAAACATAACCTAACTTTCAACAGAAAACCCAACTAAGTCCAATTAACACCTTTTCCTTGGTGTGTTTGGACCTTGAGTGTTACTGAAACCAATTTCTATTTGTTTTTTGTTAACTTTTACGCAAAATTCATTCAGTGGCCCATCCCAAGTGTGAACCTAACCTCAAACTGACAATACGATTCCCGTGAAGCGGCGTGACAAATGTCGCTTGATGCGTTTTAGGCTGCTGCAGGTAGATTGCTGCGCTGACAAGGTCAGCATAGGTGGGTGTTAATGAATGACCCTGCATAAGCCTTAATGCTTGACCTTTGGCTTGGTCCTTGATTTGACTGATGTGCGCACGCGAGTGTGTGTGTGTGTGTGTTTACCTGCGCATGCGGTCATCAAGGTCGCCGCCTGAACAGCTGACATGACTCAATCTGCCCATCTGGCCTTTTGGCAACAACAATATTATCCAATATTATTTCATAGCGCACACGCTAGGCGTATGACTCATAAAAATTTGTTCCTGCACTTAGCCAGACCCATTCCCTGCGCTATACCACTCTCATAGAACGGCTCATAGCACAAGCTGAAGCAAAAACCCTTTTCCTGCTATGCTTCACAGACAATATCTTTAGAACTTGACACAAATTTCATATATATATATAGATATATATGTGGTATATAGTTATAATTGGATTTAAAGTCTTATCAGAGTTGAATGCATACTAAGTTTATATATATACATTAACAAAGAACATTTATACAACGGCATATAGTATTATTAGATCATTTATGGACTATATAAATATAAATATATATATATACAGCTAAACTTGGAATATTGTGACAACAAAGAAAACATATTTATTGTAGCTAATATTATTGTAGAAATAATTATTATAATAATAACAAAATATTAATAATTATATAAATTGCAGTAGCAATAATACTAATAATAGAAATAATAAAAGTCTCTCTCTTAGATTGGAAATATATAAAATAATTTTCTAATATTCTTTTATTTCTTTTATAAGTTAAAGTTCTGAATAGTTCTTTATAGAATAGAACAAACTAAAATGTACTAAAAATAAATCGAAAAATAACAGATAATAAGGAATAACGTGTACCCTACAAGCAATGCCAAAAACTTATATTTTTTTTTTTACTTTAATTTACTTTTATTTTTACTTTAATTTATTGCTTTTTATCAACAGCCAAACTTAAAAAAATATGAAGCTAAGCTGAAAACAAATTCTAATCTCAAAAAATTGCTTGGTTAGAATCTGCTTTAAATCTAGTGGCGTGAAGACTTTTATGCCCAACTGTTTGTGTCTGTTCGTGTGTCTGTATGTGTGTGTGTGTGCTCGTGCAGCTTAAATAGATGCATAAATAAGTGGGTTTCTGCAGCCTATTGCACATGCACTTAGTGCGGCACATTCCACAGCACAGAGAGAGAGAGAGAGAGAGGGAGAGAGAGAGGGAGAGAGAGAGGGAGAGAGGGAGAGGGGCATACACATAAACACATACACAGTCATAGCTAGACAGTCTGACAGTTATTGGGTGGCCAGGCACATGGATAATGGGCCAATGTAATAACAATAATTTTTGCACCCAAAAAGAAAAAAGGAAGAAAAAAAACTATAAGCAATCGTATTGTCTTAAGCATAATCGCGTTTTCCATTTGATTTGTTTGACTGCGCGACACGCAAATCGATGGTTGCCACCCTGCAACAACTATTCAATATAAATATATACATATATATATATATATATATATATATATAATAAAAAAAAATAAAAGAAATTACATTAAATTCTGCGCTTACTTTGCTGCACGCGACGCAGACGACGAAAAATCGCGAAAACTGATGGCAAAAAAAAACAGCCCAAACACACCGACAAGAGCAGAAGAAAAAAAAGCACGGCACACACACACACAATAACAGACGTCTATCGACAAGGAAGCACGTTATTATAACAGTAAATGTGCTAAAATTTCGTTTGATTCACCTAACTAAAAAAAATAACACAAGTTAAATACCAACAACAAAAACCGTTAAGGAAAGAAAGAAGCAACAACAAGAAGAAACGGCCAAAGTAACGGCAACGTCGTCCACGACGCGACGCTGGCGACGTCCGTGCAAAGCCGCAGACAAATCGCGAAAACTGCGCCAATTGCCAGCGGCGTCGGCAAATAGCGGCCCAGGACGAAGCGTAACTGCGACTGCAACGCCAACTCTCCAGACGTCTTTGGCACAGCCGCAAGGGTTGGCTCGTGTTTCTGCTTGTGCTCGGCTTTCGGGCATCGGCTCTTCGTATTCCGGTACTCGCATATAGAGAATGTAAAGAGGACAACTTCAGCTTCCGCGCAAGTCCTGCCGCACTTGAAACCACCAAATTGAAGCGCACTACTATGTCCAAATAGTTTTCGCCTGACACAGTGGGTCGATCATAGCTCAAATATGTAACTTACAAATATAAGTAAATTGATATTGCAAGCAAAACGCTTACAAATATTATTACACATGCACGTAGATGTACATATATGAAAATAAATCTCGTCAATGTATATTTAGTTTATTGAAATGTATTTCTATTGTGTATTAATCATATTAACATATAAAATAAATATAGGTTTCAATTATCGCACTTTGGATTGGCTTTATTTAAGCGCCGCATCATTCCAGCTATGTGCCACTGTGCAATGGACTTTGTGCTTCTTGTCGAATATTAATGTAATCCATAAAACGCTATCTGTGTTGTTGTTTGGGAAATAGTGGGAATGGGAATGGGTATGGGAAAGAAAAAGGGGGGACAAAGCAAGGCGCATGCGTTACAAACGAAGCTAAACATATGGCAGGCAGCGAGCATACTGTAACAGAGCTATAACTGCGACTCAGCCAAGTGTTTGTGTGTGTGTGCGTCTATTTATCAGCCATTGTAAATGTGAGGCCCGCGGCTCTTTGGTTATCAGCTGCATTCGTTCCATTCTCAAAGGAAATTTTAACAGAATTGCCACTGAGGGCTCTCTCACGCTTGTTCTAACGCACTTCTTGGCTCTCGCGAATTGAGATGGCAGCGTCCAACAGGCGTAAACAGCTGTCAAATGTTTGTTGACGCGCACACATACACCCGCATCCCGTTACCCTGTACCTTGCTCTCTCTCCCTCGCCATCTTTCTCTTTTTCTATTTAAGCTTGCCTGCCCACCCGCTGTACCATGCAAATTGTAAATATATTTGAATTTTTTTTTATTATTATTATTCTTTGTACTGACTATCTCGCTTGCGCTCATGCAACTGTATCCTGTCAACATTTGCTTTTGTTTTGCTTTGATTGGTTTTGTGGTGGCTGCTGCTGCTGTGGTTGTTGTTGTTGTTTTTGCTTGTGTCATTTACTGATTGCCGTTTTCTTTTTTAATTAGCTGCGTGTACCGTTGGAGCGGTTTTTAATCAGGCACAGCTGTAGATCTATATGTGAGTGTATATATTTGTATATATGTTCGATTCTATATTAATGAACTCTGCTGCATTTCCTGCCTGCCCACAATTGTGTTTTGCTTTTGTGAACTTTAACGGGAAATTTCCAAAACAAATTTCCATTTATGCTTTTTAGCATATTTACAAAATTATGTCAACTGTTTTTTCTAGGAAAACTTTTGCACACGGTCAAGCAAAAGAAGCAGTTAAAAATCTTAAAAAAGGGCGTACAATCGAAATTGCAAGGCATAAAAAAGTGATTTTTTATTTAGAAATATTTTTTTCAAAAATATAGTTTTTTTCAAATGAAGAAGTGCTTAATACACTGCTCTAGCTTGATAGATAGTCCAATAGATAAACCAGCCAAGAGATAAATCGTACTACGGCTCTTCGATATGCTATGCCGACTGACCTACAGATAAGGTAGACAAAGCCCGTTGTATCTTTTGCTACTGCAGATCGCGATGTTCGTGACGAACCACGAGCCGAGAGAACATTGCAAAACGGGCCACACCGACTGTGCAATGCGCTCTACACAATGTTAACTAAATAAAAAATAAGTAACTATACAAAATTGTTATGTTAATAACAATTGAGTGGAGTAGAGGAGCGTGGATTAATGGTTTCTTTCAGTTAATTTATTCTTAGATTATTATTATATAAAAATAACATCAATGTAGAGTACTTTAATTGAGGCTTTTTCCAAATTTCAGAGCGTACTTAATATGCAGTACTTAGCCAATATACCCTGTCATCTATTGTAAGCAGAGTACGTATAAAAAATATTTATTTTTTTGTTGTTTCGTTTTTTGTTTGCTGACAACATCTTCTGCAGCTACACGTGTTCCAATGTATTTTTGCACAGATGTTACCTATCGAGTAGGCAACAACAACAAAAGCGAAAAAAAGGGCAAACAAACAATTCGGCTTTAATCGCAGCTACGCTTCGCGCTTGGCGCTTTGCGCTTTGCAAATCCAAATCAAATAGGAAACATGTGTAACGGTATATTTGAACGCTCTCTTTTTTGCAAAACGGCTGCATAATGTGTAACGCGTAACGGTTAACGGTAATGCATTGCCATTTTGAAAGCATTGTCAGCCATCTTCGATCAAAAATTTACAATTTACAGTTAGACCCACCTTTGACGATCGCTGCTGACTCGTAACTTATTGATTGTCAAAACACAAATTTAAATTAAAACTTCATTTAATATTTATTTATGCCAATTTTATTTGTGGTTTTATTGTTTTTCTCCTGTTTGCTTTGGTTTGTTAAGAATTCGCAACTTTTCAGTTGATTAATTTCAATTTGCATAAAGCACGAAGAATTTGTAATTCGTTCGCCTCGCACTCCAATTGTTTTTACTGTTTCAATTTATTAATTATCGTTCACATAAACAACAATAATATCATCAACAACAAAAAAATAATCAACAAAAAAAAAACGAAAAAACTAACAAAAGTCGATCGGCAACTTGCGAACAGTGGACACGCACATCCAACAATGTACGCGATTGATAAACAACTGAAGTTTTGGCGCGCGAGCGTGAGCCTGTGCGACCAGGCACTACTAAATGCAAAAATACCAAAACGAAATACCATACCAATGCGTGAACAGCTGATCAGCTGATGAGCTGAACAGAATTGCTCCACAGACTCCTGTTAAGCACATAGACTGACAGTGTTAGCGTACAGCACTGCTCAACAAGCTCACTGTTAAAAGACTGTATTGATTGTTAAGCACAACCTGTGAAACTTAACAGCGCTGCTCCACACTTAACAGACTGTGTAATAGTTCAACAAAACTAAATATAAAATAAATTATTAAAAAGCTATATTACGCTTTATCATATTTATTATTAAGGAAGAATGATAAAGAAAACCAATAATAATTAATATATATAAATTAAAAAAAAAAACTACTTTAACTTTACCCCAGATGGGACTCGAACCCACAATCCCCGGCTTAGGAGGCCGATGCCTTATCCATTAGGCCACTGGGGCTTGTTTAAGAGGTGAACAAAACTCACCTATAAGCTACCGGAAAAATGAGAAAACAACAACAAACAATACACACAAAGAAAAAGCCCACACAGTTGTGCAAACAAAACGTTTTTTGAAGTATAAAACAAAAATATTGTTAAAAAATTATTTTTTTTTTCATTCATAAATAGATTTTGCTTCTTCAAATAGCATTGAAACTAAATAACTAAACCTACACTTGATAGAATAAAGAATCTATACTAATCGCCTGCAGTTGTGATTTAATTCCAATTAATTTGTCAACTCGCTATCGACGGCCTGCCAAAAGGGCTCAGCAAACGCATCGGATTCAGCATCCTCTGCTGGTCCAGCTGGCGAGGAAAGTTCCAGTGGCTCCGCTTCATCATAGTCCAGTAGCCAATCGTGATTTGATCGGTTGCAGGCTCGAGTCATGCTGGGCACGTTGCAGGACGCTGAGGCAGCAGCGGCAGCGGAGGCGGCGACGGCAGCAGCAGCGGTAGCAGTTGCGGCAGATGCAGCTGCATTTGCGCCCGCTGCTGCATTAGGCTCATTCGACTTGCCGTTGGCTTTGTGGCTGTTGGCAATGCGCGCTGCCTTGGTCAATGCATTGATGCCATCCAAGGCTCGCTGATAAGTGGAGTCCAACCTGCAAAAATCAAGCTGTGAGCAAAGCGAAAGCGAGACGGAGATAGATAGAGGGAGACAGAAATAGAGAGGGAGCGAGAGCATGTACCTTAATGAAAGTGTAAAGTATTGCAGAGCAGCATCCAAATCCTTCTCCTTGCTAAACATCTCGGCCAACATAGCAAAGAGCGTGGCATCTGGACGATACTCCACCTGTTTCTTAAGCAGCACAATCGCCTTCCTAATATCCCCCTCGCCCTGGTAGATGCTAGCCAAGAGCGCAATGCCCGGTGCATAGTGCTCATCGATTTGGAGTCCCTTCTCCACGAACCGTTTGGCGCTTCGTACCGCATTCGGATTGGCCAAGCGGAACAAGGTGCCGCCAAACATGGTGAAGCTGCGCGCGGATGTTGGGAATTGCCGAACGGCCACTGTGCAGGTGGCTTGGGCCTCCTTGATGCAGTTCAGGCGCACATAGCAGGCGACCAAGCCTTTGTATACCTCAAAGCGATACGGCGCCAAGCATTGAATGTTCTGGAAAACATTCACCGCATCTCGTTGACGCTGGAGCACGAAATAGAGGCCGGCGCGAAGCAGCAGCGCCTCGATGTTTCGCTCATCCATGTCCAGGGCGCGCTCCGTGAAGCTCAGAGCACGTTCATATTTGGCATTCGAATAGGTTTGCTGGGCGTGAAGGAACCAATGCGAGGATCGAAACTCTCGTGTGCGTCGCATCTCCAGCGGTGCTAGCAGATTGCTACGCTCCAGCTTCTTCTTGTTGCGATCGTAGACAACGGCCAATGGACAGAGAGCCTTCATGTTATGCGGATTCTGCATCATGGCCAGGCTCAAATATTGCTCCGCCTGCAAATAGTTGCCGTCGTAGTACAGACACTGGCCAATCTTCGTCAGGACATGCTCATTCTGGTGCAATTGATTCGATTCATTCAGCTGCTGGAACGTTTGGGACGCCTCGCGATGCTTGCAGCCGTACATCTGGGCGTGGCCCTTGATCCAGCTGCTCAACCATTCTATGTTCTTTGGCAGGGCAGCGGCTAAACAAGAAAATCAAAAGGAAACGATATTAGTTTCGATGCGAACTAGTTCATATGAACTATAAAAGGAGCTAAATATAAGCTGGTCTAATTTGCATTAAGATTTCATTAGATTCCATATTCCGAACTAGTTCAAATGAATCATAAGCTGCATTAAAAATTAACTGATTTTTTATATCCAAATCCTATACCTAAGGGTGAGCTCGTTGAGATTAAGTTTCGTATAGGATATTGTAGATATTCCATATTCAGAGCAAGCTTAAATGAACTTCAATGCAATTATAGCTTACGGATTTAGTTAGGTCAAGTCAGGTTAAGTTATACGACTACAAGACGAACTAGTTGATATGAGTCTGCAATGAACCAAAAATAATATATTTATAAGGCAAGTGAAAACTCTAAAGCAGACTATACGGTAAGTCTATATATCAAGATGAATTAGTTCCAATTAACTTTAATTGGATATTTCTTCAGTATTTAAATATATATCCCATAAACACACACATATTCAAAACAAACTAGTTCACGGGAATCTCGAACTGAACGAATCATAATACAACCAGAACATTTATATATTTACAAGGAGGCTTTAATGTAGTGTGTACTAAAGGGCGAACTAGTTGAAACGCAACGGAACCAAACCAGATCTGCACTGAACGAATCAAAGGCATTCCTGAATACGCACCATTCACCACCATTGAATGCACATCGCTGCCCTCGATGCCAAGCTCAAGAAGCGCCTCAATGGAGGTCAGCGACATGGGACACTCGCGTAACACATCCTTGTAGGCGAGCGCCTTCTCCTTCTTGCCGACGCCGTGTCCATGATGATGCAGCAGCCGGGCCAGCAACATGTTTACTCGCGGCGTTCTTGTCTTCACCGCCTGCAGTGTGTTAATCGCCATATTATATTCGCCCATCTCGCGGTAACAGATGGCGATCTTATAGCGTAACTCCACATCCTGGAACTGTGGATATGAGCTCTCTATGGCCGTCAGGAAGCTGCTCTTAAATCTGAGCATCGTTTTACGCTGCACGACAACGGCTTCCAGTTGACTGCAGGCTGTACGATAATTGTGCTCCTTGTAATTAGCATTGCTGAGATAGATCATCGCCTGGTATTCCATCTCCAGCGTGGCCACATTTCGATCGTTTTTCAGCAGGGTGCACAATAGGCTGGCCTACAATAAACTATGTATTAGCAACTGAATAAGTGGCTGTGTGTGTGCGCCTGTGTGAGCAATCATTTAAACTTGTCTCCTTGATTAAGGATGCTGTAGTTTGGTGTCCAGCTTGTGGGCTCAGTAGATTACAAATGTAAAGACTTACCGTTGGTATAACGCACTCGTATAGGCCATTGTCGTACAGCTTTTTAATGTTGGAACACAATGCGTTTTCCATCTTATTTTATGCGTTGCCGCCATAGACAGTACACAGTTAGTCGTACCGTTTATTGTTGATAGAATATCGATAAAGCAAACATCTGCTATCGGTATTTTTTTTATAGAGAAATCGATGTATTTTGTTACAGGCCGATTGATGGGCTTATATCAAATAATTTAAGAAAACTGCCTCAGTTATAAGTTTAGCCTATTAAAATTTTTCAAATGTATACTCTAATAATAATATAAAAAAAGTAACAAAAACTATATAAAGAAATTGAATTCACTGGACAAGAGCTAAAGTTCATGCATTTAGTCGCGAACCAGCTCGCGTAATTCGATTAAACGTATCGAGCCAAGTATTATGGCAATCACCAAGTGTTTTTTACTCTTATAAAAAAACTAAGTTAAAAGGATAACTAATATGTTCTCTAGGCGATCTGCCGTAGAGGCAACGTTTCTTTGGAATGTCATTACTAAAATGCACCCATACAAGCTGTTAAACAGCGTTAACCCAAGCCGGCAAAGGATATACAGATGCATGGCCAGCAGCATAACAGCTCACGGAGACGCCGCCGATGTGACTGGAACACCGGCCAAGACAGCCAGGAGTCGAATCGCTGCTGGTGTCAAGACTTTGCCCCAGGTAGATGAGCCATTAGAAACGGGCCTCTCACCGAGTCGATCGCGTGCGTTGCGCAAGAAACGTTTAGCCATCGACGAGCTATCTGCATTGGGCTTCCTCAACACACGTGGCTTCACGACCGCCGACGAATACAATTTGGAGGAGCTGCATGCGGCGCTCAAGCAACAGAATCTGTACGAAACGAAACGATTCTTCTCCACCGACAATCTGGGCGTCGAGCAGAATGTGCTCTTCGTTACGGCAAAATATCCAACAGGATCGCGTCCACGTGAGATCTTCTTCTTTCGCGAGGGATCAGTTGTTTTTTGGAATTGCAACGACATCGAGACAAACAATGTACTCAGCTTTCTGCGCAACTTCGAGCGTGAATCATATGTGAGCACCCTGGTCCATGGTGAAAGCGAGGTCATGCCCTACACGTACATCGCATCGACGGCTGTTGATGTTGAAGGCGATCTGGTGGCCGAGTGCAGCGATATGAATGTGGCCTCGCGTGCCTTCTTCCAGAACGGCAAGTTCTATGTGACGCAGGACAGTGACAACTTCCTATACAAATACACATTCTCGAATGCGATCGCGCAGTCCATTAAGTTGGGTATTTGGGAGGCGACACTGGATCGCTATATTGATTCGATGGAGTATCTAACGGAGGATCTGAAACGTGGTCGACGGCTGCGCATATCGCGGGCTTCGATGCTACGGAAAACAGGCGAATTGTTTGCATTGCGGCATTCCATAAATCTCTCCTCGGATCTACTCGATGCACCGGACTTCTACTGGGACCGCGAGGAGCTGGAAGTGCTTTACTTGCAGGTGTGCTCGTATTTTAGCATCACGCGTCGCACCAAGGTGATGAACGAGAAGATCAACCATTGCGTTGAGCTGGCTGAACTGGTCTCTCACAACTTAAACGACGCACATCACATACGGCTAGAATGGATGATCATTATTTTGATTATGGTTGAAGTGGGATTCGAGATATTGCATTTTGTTGAGGGTGCCTTCAATCAGGACCAAACCATACGTGCCAATCCTTATCCCATTTCCGAAAATAGTGCATAATCTAAGCATTTCTTTTGTATTTACAGTCTGTACAATTGTTTTCAAATTATAAATCACGTTTTTAGTCTGTTAATTACTTGAGTGATATGTGCTAATTTAAATTTGAGCGCTTAAATGCGATACTATCGATTGATTTCGCTGGGCACAGGCAATTTATCGAATGGTGGTAAACATGTGTATAATATATATATCGATAGCTTCAAATCAGCTATCGCTAGCAGCTCAGCTGTTACGGCGACTTGTGCAACAACATTGAACGTGCATTGAGAAGTGTTTTCTTTTAACCGTTCATCAATTAGCTAAACACAATATGCAGTTGACTTTAATCAATTTCTTTAAGAAAACTGTGCCCGGCCATATATTCCGTGGCAAGCGACGTCTGGTCAAGCCGGTGAGCAAGCGCTCAATGGACACGCTGACCCGCGAATACGAAAGACAGGAGCAGATCATGTTCCTGTTGCGGC